GTTCTGATTGAGGGAAACTCTGAAGTTCCAATCGAAGGACACTCAGAAGTTCAAGTCGAAGGCCCTTTTGGAATTCAAATCGAATGGCCTTTGTCCATACCAATTGAAGGACCTTTGTCAAGATACCAATCGAAGGGACTTGTTCAAATGCCAATCGAAGGACACAGTTACAATGCCAATCGAAAGATACTTGTTAAACTTCCAATCGAAGGACACTGTTACAATGGAAATTGAAAGGTGCTTGTTAAAATGCCAATCAAAAGGTACTTGTTAAAATGAAAATTGAAGGAAACTTAAAAACATCACTCACAAATTTTCCTTTTCTTTAGGCAAAGCTTTGTGACCAACTATTTAGGGGAAGACCTTGGAAAACATGAGAGGGGAAATTTTAAGGTACAATAGTGTCGACACATACAATAAAAATTATGCTGAATATGATGTTTCATGATTTGGATCAATTTTAAACTTGTTTTGAATGCTTCCTAAGACCTCTAATGCAAGGGTGCATCAAACAATTAAGAGATATCGTCCAATATACAAAAATGCTAAGTTTTCCTAGTTTTGACATCATGCAAAACATCTTATGGTAAAGTTGCACTCACAAATTCCTCTTGTATCAAAGGAGTTTAAAATGGCATCTCAACGACATTAAACATATCAGGAATCTTTCCAATGTTCCTGATGTTGCTTGTCTCCAAGACTCCTTGTGCACAAAGTTTTCTACAATGAATCTTTCATTTTTCTCTATAAAAGGAGATGAAGACTTGGAGAAAATCACAACAATGCACCTTGACAAATAAATATATGTTTATTTTGTCAAAACTATTGCACAAGATTTACTTAGATCTTCTTAAGATTTGTATATTCTTATAAGTTCCTGAGTCTTAGACTCTTTTTATGTTGTAATCTATTTGCACCTCTGATTGTATATCAAGGTCAAGTCTCAAATTATCCCACATCTATTAGATAGTGTGTCAGAAGCATCTTTCTTGTTGCTTGAGCATTTGAAGTCTCTTGCTTGTATGCTTAAGAATTAAAGTATCTTACTTGTGTGCTTGAGCATTGAAGTCTCTTACTTTTCTGTTTGAGCATTTGGAAGTCTCTTGCTTGTTTGCTTTAGAAAATTGTAACCATAAGTGATTTTAGTGGAAATATATTGGAAGTGAAAGGGGACTGGACTACTCTTGTTTTGTTGGAGGAACCAAGATATATTGTTTGTGTTTTTCCATCTTTCTTCTTTACCTCTGACCCTGTTTATCTGCTTCTATCATCTCAGAGTCTGACTCAAATTCTAACCTTGTGTTAAGAATCTAATAAGAGATTTTAAGAGTAAAAGAATAAAAATTTAACATGATTCAACCCTCTTTCTTGTGTTTTTCTTACCTTCAAACCATGGGGTCATCATTATGAGGGTGGGTGCTAGTTGCATATTTATTAGAGAAGGCGATTGTGGCCTCTGCTGTAATGCCCTAGACTGCTTTCAGGACTATCGATTGAACCTACAAACTAACATGAGTCTTTTTAGCATGCTTTGTCCTCACTCACACGCTTTATGGGAAACTTCTTAAAAGGTCACCCATCCAAATACTACTCCAAGTGAAGAACGTTTATCTCTGGAGTTTTTATCTGTTAGGCTACCAAAAAGAATATGCATCGTATTCATATAGGTAGTACCAATTAACCCTTATAATCTTTCTGTCAACCATGCAATCCCTTCCCTGCACAGCCTCAGGATTATTCTCATTCCGATCGAAATTCAGTTTTTCGTTATAAGCTGCTAGAAGTGTCTCATTGTCATGTCTCATGCACCGATAACCACTCCCACACCCTCGGGTGTTACATGTAACCACTCTTTTCCCTCTTCGGCCTCAGGTGTTACATGTCTACCAGCTTCCGCTTAATTCGTCCCTGAACCACGCCCTATTGGGAGAGGTATGCTCTAATTACATTTGTAACACCCCATACTGCTTTCAGGATTGTCCACTGACCCTACAAACCAACACGGGTCTTTTCAACATTTTTATTAATGATTTCTGTTGCGATGATACCCTAAGTGAAGGTGAGCATGCGATGATACATTTTTGTGTTATGTTATGTTTTACTTAACCCGTGTTATGGAGCAGGTGTTGTATGTTTTTTATTTTTGCATTGCATGTATTCTAAATGTCTATGTTTTGTTGAAGGGTTGTCGTTAGTGAAATCTTAAATTGTCGAGTAATCTTTTATATATAAGTTTCGGGGTTTATGGTGTTACATCTGGCGCATGTGTTTCAACATTGGTCTTCATGTATGAGAGGTATTATATACTCGGGATTCTGAAAGCATGCATTCTATGGGAAAAGTTAGTCTCTCTTCCCCAACAAATCCTCCTAATATGGAGTTAAGTGTGTGGTACTATAATTTTCTACCTTTTCCTTGGGATACCTCTTTCACTTTGTTGGGCCTGAGGCTTCCTATGTTATCTCACACTCGTGAGTAAGAATTTTATGTCACATGGTAAGAGTCACCATTCACATATTTCTTGAGGTGTCCCTCCTAGATTAGCCTCTCGATTTCTTTCTTGAACTGGTAACAATCTTTAGTGTGGTGTCTCTTTAATTTGGGGAAGTTACACCAAATTCTTGGTTCAAGGTCCATTATGTATGCCTTTAAAGCAGGAGGTGTAGGGATATTGTGCATGTGAATAACCTCGCGTCAAATATGCTCACGAAGAGTGTTCAGGGGTGTGAAATTTTGTCTCCCTGCCTACTCTCTTGAATATATTATTGTCTTTTTTAGGAGAGGTATAATTACTCTTCATATGATGTTGTGAATGCTTAATATTGGTAACACCCTCCTTGGCATCACACGCATTCTTTTCGGTGTTGCTCTCTTTGCCCTTTATGTAACATTTTTCTTAGATGACCACTTCAGCCAACGAGAGAAATGGATTCTAGGAGAGAGACTTGTTAAAGTGTCCTACCTAGAGTCCATTTTGGAACTCCCCTATAAAAATTTATTGGTTTGGATGGACAAACCTGATGGTTGTTTCATTAAACTGGGCAAGGTAGTCCCCTAGCGACTCTGATGGATCCTGGTGTATGTTGAAGAGGCTGGTGATGGACAATTTAATGTGACACTTGGTGGCAAAGTAGTGAAAATTATTATTTACCAGCTCATGATAGTTAGAGATGGAGGTACGGGGAAGACCAATATACCATTGCATGGCAGCATCCCAAAAAGTTCCAGATAACAATTCGGACTTCTAAGAGTCTGGCGCTCTTATTATGGAGATTTGTGTGTTGATGGAGGTGATGGATTATTGTACCCACCAAACTTGGCCAAGAAGGGAAATCTAAATCACTTAGTGGCAAGCTCCCCCTTATCTCGTCAAAGAGTGGATGAGGGTCTAACAATTCCATCTTCTCCAAGGGATTGGAATCTTGATGGTGCTTTCTAATGTTGTGGACATCATATTCCAAAGTCTAGTAATGGTTGTATAATCTGTCCATGGCAACACGTATCTCCGCCAGAGCGTCGACATCACCTATTCCACGGGTACCTTCTGGCTTAATGGCTGAAGCTCTCTTGTTAACCATGGCTGAAAGTGGCTAGGTGTAGGTGTGGAAGGTGACATCGAGTATGGTGATGTCGACGCCTAGGTTAGTTATATTGGGGCCTACAGTGGGTTCCACTCTACTGGTAGAAAAGTACGGGTATATGTGTTTCCCTTGCAAGGGCAATGACACTCAGAGGCCTTAGTAGGTATATTATATTGTAAGGTGGTTAAGGTTTTTCCACAGCAGAGGAAAACCCGATATGATGGTGTTTTGTGGTGGTTTAGAGAACCTTCTCACGTGAGGTAAGAGACTCTATAGATGAATGGCGTGCTTAGGTAGAGCATGTAGGGTGTAATCTGTATGACTTTAGATCTATCTCCTATCTCTCTTGGGGGAGAGATATTTATAGAGGCTTCTTAGGCCTAGGATTTGGGTAACGTTTAGGGGTAACACCCTCTCCCTCAAGATCAAGGAAATTTGTTGACCACCTAATCATCAAGGGATGGTGATGGACTCATTCTCCTTTCAGTGATGACATTACACACTTTGTTAGTGCCAAAGGAGAACCCTCTATTTTTTTTGAAGATATCTCTTTGGCGACACCACTCTTAGATGAGAGCTCCCATGTTTAGAATACTCAACAAATATAACACTACATGTAATAATATATTTTTCCCAAAATATAATTGGACATGGGACATTATTTGATCTATTTGATTGATTAAATGGACAAGATTGATGGAAAGACAACATGCCTTTCCCGCCGTATAGGAACTCAATCTTGATCCTAGTCACTCAGCCTTAAGGCTAGAGTCCACGTAGAAGGAGGAGGAACAATCTCCATCATTTTTTTATGATCGACAAAAGACATTCTACAACAAAGTCTGATGTGACATTCAATCCTTAAAAATTTAAAAAGATGATAAACATGTTACATCTGTTGCATGTAGCTTAAAACACATTTGAAGAATTGCAAAATAGGTCAACAATTCAAACTGGTGATTCATATTTTACCCTAACATCTTTAATCGAGGGTCACAACCATCAAAGTCTTCGCCTGATTTGCATGGAAGTGAAACTCTCTATGAACCAATCTCATTAACACAATGCACACGATTCCTAACTCTGCTAGAAAAACTATTTTGGACTTAGCCAATCTCCAATTCGTATGGAACCTGGCATATTTGATCTCCAGAAGTGGAAACTAATCATATCTTAAATGTATAAATAATTCTTTATTTAGCACTTGTCTTATTTAAGGGAAACATGAAGAACGTTTGTCTTTGGATTTTTCTAATGTAGCAAAGTTTTTTAACACTTTGATAAAAGTCCATATTATTTATTTTAAAATAAGATATACATTAAGATATTGTTATTACATTCATGCAGTAGGATTCACATATTCAGGTATATTGCCAACTTCATTATTCAGTAATGTCATCTCAAAGGAGCTATGTCTTCTTACTCAATCCTGCATTTGGTAATAAAAATAGAACTTAAGTTAATTAATTCCTCTATCTAAATGAAAACAATTTTTTATTATACGAAAAAAATAAATAATTAATTTTGGTGTTTTTGTATATATCTTTAGTGTGATCAATGTATATATATACATACTTGTCGCAGTCAGTGGAGGGACCAAAATTATAAGGCAAGTCAACCCCACATTTACTAGGGAGGCCAACAAGAGCATCCATATTCAGTCCGGTTTTTGGATTCTTGGTTCTTGGTTCTGACTCATTTTTATATTGGGTTTATGTTTATGTTTATTACAGGTTATTAGATGGCTACTAACGACGATCACCCACGTGATGATTCTGTGCATGATGGAGATAAGGTCGTTAGTAAAACGGAAATGGAATATAGAAGAGGAATAACAATAATGAAGAGAATAATACGGGATATAGACCAAGGCATAAAGTATGAAGTGCATTGGAGCCAAGAAGGCCAAATCATTGAGCCTAACGGTTCAACGTTGACAAGTTATCTCGGTTCCGTGGTAAGAAGAGAAATTTCAATCGCATGTGAAGATTGGGGAGCAAGAGTGTTGGACGATGCTAAAGATAAAATATGGAGTGAGATACAGGTACCATATGTGATGTAAATTGTTTTTAATGACGATTATGTCTCTAAATTACTTATATTAACGCACTTTGTTTATGATTTTCGTAGAGGTCGTTCATCATTGAGGATACAAGGAGAGATTATACTCTTAAATTGGCCGGGAAACTACATAGACGCTTTAGATCTTTCTTGTCAAACAAGTTTCTAAGGGATGCAGATAAATTTTTTGTTGATGCAGAGCTTCCAAGGAAATATGTTGATTTGATTACAGCTGAAGAATGGGAAACTTTTAAATCGAAAAGAAGTACCCAAAAATTTGAGAGCTTAAGTGTCATAAATCGACAACGAGCTTCAAGTCCAGCATATCCATACAGAAAAGGCCGTATGGGATATGCACGATTACAACAATTTATTTTAAGTATCTATAAATTGAAAAGTATCTTTAATATATACACGCTTATATTTAATCATGTTTTTTGGCTTAATGTGTAGCTAACAAAAGAGAATAGTTCTGAAACATCTCTTCCGGAACACATTTTGTGGAAGGAAGCACGTGTGTGTGTATGGATAGAGTTGTTGAAGAAAAAGTTCAACAAATTTTCGAGAGATGTGTAAGTATAACATTATTTATTTAATTACATCATACTTTTATTTATTTAATTACATCATTCTTTTATTAACATATCATTCTTTAATTACAATATTTATATGAATTTCAGGAGATTCTTTCCCAGTCTATACCTCCAGACGAAGATACTGATTGCAGGAGAATACTCTCATGAGCATTAGATATTCGAGAGTATTCTGGTCGGGTGAGGGGTAAGGGATTTTGGATCACTCCAACATTCTTGAAAAAAAAAAGACAAAATCTCCAAGCAATAAATAACTGCAGGAGAAGTTGGAAAAGTTACAACAAGAAGTCTATGAGCTGAGAAAGGAAAAGAAAATCGATCAAGCTACAGGCTTTAAAGATACTAGTGACAAAGCTAGTATCAATGGTAACTTTGGACAAAATATTCCTGAGGTAATTATATACCATCTTTATAAATTATAAAACCATGTTTATTAACTATATAACCATGTTTATTAATTATATAACCATATTTATTAAATTATAGGGCATTTCCCAATGTCAACTCTATTTGTCTACACCGACTTATCAGATGGTTGACAAGGGAAAAGTGTATAATATCTCGGGAGAAATGCTTCACCATAGACCCCTCCCAGAGGGATTTTTGAAAGTATCGGTCGATGTTGTTTTAGAGGGGGGTGCGTTGTTACCACTACCTGATGATGCGGCGGATACAACATTGGTGGCGGATGCAATAGGATCGTTTGTTGCATGGCCATCAAGCCTCGTTTGCATAGATAATGAGGTATGCTTAAAATCATTTACTATTCAAATTTTTATGGCAATTATACTTACATTTTGTTTACATGGTAATGTTAGACTCCCACTAAATCCATTCCAAAAAATAAGGGGATTAAGCGGGATACCGAGTCAATTGCATCATTTGAGGTAACACAATTATATGACATTATGCTATGAGAAATGCTAATTTGTGATTTTATACTTTCCCTAACTAATTATATGATAACTAGATTCATGCTAAAGAGACTGCACAACTCAGTAGGGGTAAGGCGCCTGAAATTAGCAACATTTCGACACAAAAAAGAATGTTGCTAAGAAGACTGTGGCACACAAAAAAACTACTGCTCAATTCAGGTCGTGCCTTCAGACATATTTAGGAATTACAGATATTCCGGATGGTGGTACCCGGCTTATATCTATGAGTGCAGATATCTTTGGTTTTGAATATTTTGAAGTAATTAGTAGAGAGGACATGGAGCAAGTTTTTAGGCATTTGGAATTAGGTCTCGGTGTTATCGGTATATACATCAGGTATACTTCGATCAACTTTGTTTAATTAAATGAACAATTTAATCCCTCATTTCAATGAATATAGTATAATGTTAATCATATTTTAATTTAAGGTTTATGTATGACAATATTGTGCGCCCGCGTGGATTGGAAGCAAGATTTGGCTTCTTAGCTGCCAACACTGTCAATTCCGGGTTGATTGTAACGAGACCAGATGATGTCATATCATATGTACTAGGTTTATTCGTGGCCAGTAAAGATACCGAGAAGTTGTTCTTTTTTCCATATAATACTGGCAACGAGTTAGAATTTCATCCTAACTTAATCTATTATAATTTTCCGTTTTTGTCCATTGTTTAATCTTTGTTTAATCTTACACTGGACACTGGCTATTGGTTACGATTAATCCTATGAGAGAAACTATGTGTTATTTGGACTCGTTATACAATGATTGGTCAACATATCCAGATTTGAAACAGATGATTGACACGTAAGTGTTTCGCTCCCAAAGAGATATTCAAGTTTATGTTTATGTTTATGTTTATGTTTATGGTCAACATATCTGGATTTGTGTTTATGTTTATGATTCTATAGCGTTCAAGTACCAAAAAGTAGAGCGAACAACGTTACATGTATCAGAGTGGAGGTATATTTTCACAAAGAGATATTCAGTTTTGCTTACTTTAGTGATGATACTTGATAAAACAATTTAAGGGGTATATCCTGATATATATTCGTATTTTCTTTCCATGTGTAGTGTCCTCGCCAGCGTAACGGTATAGATTGTGGCTATTTTATGTTGAGGTTTATGAAAGAAACTATTCTTTTGGATCAATTAGAGATTCCATCCACGGTATGGATTTCTAACTTATGAATTACATACTATTTTTATATTTTGTGTTTCTCATAAATGACATATTGTTTTAACTAAATCACATACTATGTTATATTATTATATATGTAGTACTTTGAGGAATTCAATTGTGCACATTACTCAAAAGATCAATTGGATGAACTTATGGAGGAATGGTGTCAATTCATTTCGGGTTGAGAATTTTATAAGCTAAGGTATATTGTCTTATTTCCTTTGATGAGAACTTTCGAGTTTTGAGTATAAATTAAATTCTAATAAAGTGCAACGTTAATATTATCATGTTATGAATTTCGATCATCTGATTTTTTTTCCCAATTATATAGGTACATATGTGTAGAAGATAGAGCTAAGATATTCATGTTGTTGTTGTTTCATGAGAATTCTCGAAGATAGAAAGATGTATAGATGTAAATTCAATTTTGAATATTTTAGATATTTTACCTAGTAGAATTTTAACTTGTATCATAAATTTTGTAAATGTTGTTGTCTATATCTTGTAGAATTTTTAACATGTATCATAACTTGTAAAAAGATGTATAAATGTTGTTGTTGTCTTTATTGGAATGAAGCTACCAAATATGGAGCATAAAAGATAATTACCTGGATCAAAATATTGGAATCAAGCTACCAAATATTGGAATGAAGCTACCGAATATGATAAAAATTCTGATTAAAATAGATAATTTATTATAAAAAAATTGTAAATAATAGACAGCGCTTTAGCAAAAAAGCGTTGTAAAAACTTTAAAAAAAAGCGTTGTCTAAAGTGGGGGAATAGACAGCGCTTTCAAAGGAAAGCGCTGTCTAAAGCCTACCTGGAAAAAATTACAAAACGTTGTCTAAAGTGGATATAAGGCAGCGGTTTTACGTTAAAAAAAACATTGTCTTTTCTTTTAGCAGCACTGCTTTAGGCAGCGCTTTAAAGCGTTGTTAAAGGCCAAAAAAGACGTTGTCTTTTCCCTTTTTTGTAGTAGTGAAAAGACATTCTACAACAAAGTCTGATGTGACATTCAATCCTTAAAAATTTAAAAAGATGATAAACATGTTACATCTGTTGCATGTAGCTCAAAACACATTTGAAGAATTGCAAAATAGGTCAACAATTCAAACTGGTGATTCATATTTTACCCTAACGTCTTTAATCGAGGGACACAACCATCAAAGTCTTCACGATTTGAATGAAAGTGAAACCCTCTATGAACCAATCTCATTAACACAATGCACGCGATTCCTAACTCTGCTAGAAAAACTATTTTGGACTGAGCCAATCTCCAATTCGTATGGAACCTGGCATATTTGATCTCGAAAAGTGGGAACTGATCATAACCAATGACCATTATTTTAATTTATCTTTTTTAGATCATTATTTTAATTTATCTTTTTTAGATCATTAATAAAAATTTATCTTTTTAGATCATTAATAAAAATTTATTTTATACAATATTTTTTAACTTCATTTTTTCATATAACCATACTTACATTCTTAGTACATATTAAATAGTAAAAAAGGACTTATAATAATAAATAGAGGTAGTAAATAGCTAATACTATTATGTGTAGGATTATTATAAATAAAAAATATGAAGGCCTTTGTACCAAAATAAAAAATAAAGATCTAAAGCAAATAATTTGGTTGTCAGTTCCTTAGAGTAGGACGAACATGGGTTAACCATGAACATTTAATATCTTATAATTTTGTTGGATACAATATCTAACATCCACTCATTTAATAGCTTTAGTTATATATATATATATATATATATATATATATATATATATATATATATATATATATATATATATATATATATATATATATATATATATATATATATATATATATATATATATATATATATATATATATATATATATATATATATATATATATATATATATATAGCACTTGTCTTATTTAAGGGAAACATAAAGAACGTTTGTCTTTGGATTTTTCTAATGTAGCAATGTTTTTTAATACTTTGATAAAAGTCCATATTATTTATTTTAAAATAAAATATACATTAAGATATCGTTATTACAACCATGCAGTAGGATCCACATATTCAGGTATATTGCCAACTTCATTATTCAGTAATGTCATCTCAAAGGAGCTATGTCTTCTTACTCAATCCTGCATTTGGTAATAAAAATAGAACTTAAGTTAATTAATTCCTCAATCTAAATGAATATAATTTTTTAGTATTTTATTATACGAAAGAAAATATAAATTAATTTTGGTGTTTTTGTATATATCTTTAGTATGATAAATGTATATATACATACTTGTCGCAGTCAGTGGAGGGACCAAGATTATAAGGCAAGTCAACCCCGCATTTACTAGGGAGGCCAACAAGAGCATCCATATTCAGTCCGGGCAGTGCCTTAGCTGCTTTTTTGATACACCTACATGCAATTTGACGATCAGCTTTGGTCGCGGCTTCATTTTTTAAGGATTTGATACCATCACAACATGGTTGTGGGACAGCATCTACGATTCCGGTCACGTATGCGACACACGGCGCTAATTTTGTCTCAACTTGGCTACAAGTGAGAGCAGCAAGAGTTTGTGGTAGGCCTAAAATCATGCACATCATCATTGTCATGCAAGTAATCTTCATCAACAAAATTGAGCTAGACATTGGATTGATGATTAGTGAAGTTGGTGTTTTAGGTAGAATTTGATGTGTGGAGAATATGATCATAGGTTGGATATTTATAATGTGAACGAGATTCAAAATTATTCAAAATTATAAAAGACTGAGTTTTTTTTTTGTGAAAAGAAAACGGTTAGTTTGTTGAGGAGTTGGAAATGCAGTCACGGTACGTATAGTCGCATGAATAATGTGTGAGTCTCATGACCAAACTTCTTATGTTTTATTGAGTCTCTTTAAAGTTGGCGATGATTTTGCTTTTGTGAACATGTGATATTTTTTTAAATAATGTAGTTAAGCTAGAAACTATACTGATATATACTTTAATTATAAAGAAATTATTGTCAATGTGGTAATCAAAATTATCAATATATGTTTTTCTCAACTTCAACAATCATTTTATGTAATATGATTTATATGTTTACATCATGTGCTACATTGTATTCACATTCACATGTCAAGCACGTGTTAGACCACGCACAATTGTGAATCATACACGGAACATTTTAAAAGCATGTGAACATCCATTCATACTAATTCTTGTAATTGAACAACTTTTTTTTTTCTTGTAGCATAAAGATGGTCTTAGAAAATATTTTTCACTCGAAATAAATGTCATCTACTTGGTGTGCCCATTTGATATGTGCTGCCCATTAAAAATTATGCAAAAATACATAACAATAATACATAAAAATTACATTTTGATTAAAATATAAAATAAGACAACAAAATTAATTTTAATTATTCTTATGACCTAACCGTTCATGTTTTATTATGTTTGTTTGAAGTTTGCGATGATTTTCCTGTTATTGAACATGTGATGTTTATTAAAATGACGTAGTCACACTAGAAGCTGGACCGATATATACTTTAATTATTGAGAAATTATTGTCAATATCATAATCAAAATTACTAACATATATTTTTCGCTCATCTTTGACAATCATTTTATGTAATATGATACATGCTTACATTTTGTACTTCATTGTACTCACGTGTCAAACACCCGTTAGACCACGAATAATTGTGAATTGTGCCTGGAGCATTCTAAAGGCTCGTCAACGTCCTTTCGTACTAATTCTTGTCATTAAACAATTATTTTTCTTTTTTCTCTTGCAATATAGGGATGGTTGTAGAAAATTATTCACTCAGAATAAATATCATCTACTTAGTGGAACCTATTTGATATATTTTTTAACCATGTATTGCACTACATTAGCTTTATCCATTCAAAACATCATTTCACACATTAGATGTATATAACACATTAATATTGTTGTTAGAATTCTCAATGTCAAAAAATGCATGTTAAATTCACAAGTCTTGAGATGCAACAACTTCAAGCATGCTTGTGGGTTTACCGTGGTAACCTTTAGAAATGAAAACTTTCTATATATGATGTTTTTATTTCCAATACTTATAATCAACAGATCCCAATCAACCTGGAAAAGTGTGTACATTGGTAAAATATAGTAGCAAGCAACGTCTTCATTTTTTGACCTTATCATGTAATAACCACCAAATATTATGCGCACGCACACACTTACATTGAAAATCAATCTAAGCAATCCAACGTTGTGCTTTCACTTATGCAAACATAGTCATCCACATTGTTAGCTGGTGATCCATATGCTAGTAAACAAAGAACAATAGTGATGTTCTGCAATGGTGAAAGTTATGTTCTACCTACTGAATCAATCATTCTTTGAGAGTAATTGTCATGATCTTCTAAGGGCTTCAACAATGCAAAGTACCACATGTTTTTTCACAAGAAACCTTTGTCGGAATTGAGCATCCGTGTATATAAGATTTTCATAAAAAATAGTCATTAAACAATTGCTTATGCCCTGCTACACAATTTTGATTTCTCACCCTTCTTATTTTCTACATGCCTATGATTAGGCACAATTTTACTTTGTTATGTCATTGTTTTAGCTATAGATTTGATGTTATGTCATTGATTGCATATCAAATTTAGATGATTTGATATATTTTATTTGTGGTATGAGAATTTCAATGTTTAATAATGTTCCATGCGTCATATGATCTTTTGGGAAAGGATTAACATGTTTTATAGTTTGAAGTAAGTAAAGTAAATGGTCGAAAAAGGAACATGACGAATTGTCAGAAGGATTCACAAAGTCTATATTTCAGCATGTTTTACACCATGATGTACGCCTGCTATTTTGAATACATCTAGAGCGTCATAACTTGGAATTACATGAGATCGGTGGCAAATGAAAGCTAACATCAAGTGATACAACTCTCATAAGAACACCAAAGATTAATTCAACATTTTATTCTTGGCTATACACATACCCATACGTGTATAAGAGCTACAATAATATGATTGTATGACCATACGTGTACCCATATGTGTATGGCAGTTTGGTGTTCACCGTGTTTTCTGGTAAACAACCGCTGATCTTCCAAAAGGGTAACTTTTTGGTTACTCGTAGGATCGATCAGTTTGATCCTAGGACATATGCTAATTTTTTATGTTGTTTAGACATAAACGTTAATATGAGTGAAGAACGCACGTTCGACAGGGAAATGGATGAGTTTGAGTGCAGAAGGTAAATAGAACAAAGGGGTTGAGGAGAGTTTGGGTGCAGGAATCTGGGTAGAAGTGCAGATAAAGTGTAAACAAGATAAAAAGGAAAGAAATGTAAAGAGAGAAATAAAAGACTTTCATTGTAAAATGTGGTGTTTCAAACGTATATTTTTCATTATTTTTTCTCACGCAGCGGGTACTTGAATAATATTGAATAATTTGTACGATCAGTTGAACACACGGAAATCTACATAAACTTCCTATATTTATACTAAAACTAGGTAACCGTCGAGGAGTTGCCTTGCTCTAGGATGAAGACAAGTGTCTTCTGCATGCGCTTCGACCCCTTTCTTCAGATTCAAAATCTCCTGGTGCAGATACGAAGTTTCCTTCTGGTCGAAGACCTTGGGGTCCTTTTAGTCGAAGGGATTGAGAACCTTCTGGTCGAAGACTCATTTTAACTTAGAATTTCTCTAATTATTTTTCTACTTTGTCGAAGCCTTTCCAACTTAGATTTGTTCAATCTATTTTTGGCCCATAAGACCAACTTGTTGTAGCTGTCAAATTTAGGAGCTAACAAATTCCCCCCCAAGAATATCAATTTCGATGCAAGGAGAGATGATCATTCTTTGAGTTTCCCATTCGACACCTGTCTTCTTTTTTACCACAAAAATTTCTTGTGTGCTTTTCACCTTCTACTGACCACTGCCGGTATTCAGAGTCATCATTAACTTTTTCCCAACACGTTGCTGTCAATCAGCCGTTACCATGCTGCCATGATGGCCATTATCCCTACAACCTATGAAAGTATGGAAAACATTTTCATTACTCGTATGATAACTGCTTTAACGCTCGCCATTTGCCCCACTAACTCTACAACATTAAATTGTTTTGGGGAAAAACACTTCTTCCTGAACACTATAAATAGACGAATATTCTTTTGGGAATTCTTTTACAACTCCTAGTATTCTTCACTTCCTTACAAAGAAAAAACCTTAACAACTTCATCTTCTTCTCTCTTTCACTACTACTTTCAGCCATGGCTTTCCTTTCCAATGCACCCAACAATCCAAAAACTAAGAACGTTTTTTATCTCCAAAGACAATCAGAGGTTTTCTCTACTAACCCTGTACATGTTTCGGCTGGGGAACGAAGGGTCGTATCTGAACCCATGGCCAAAGAGTGGCGTGATGCTTATGACTCCCAATTGCTTATCCCTGTTAGGTATTCTAGGCAAATGTATGCTATGTCTGGACCATTATCTACATGTTTCAAGAACCCAAAACAAAATAACAACTTCTTCCCAACTCACCCTAGGCTCAAGCCTATAGGTTGTGCAAAGAAACTCAGAAATGATCCTGAAGATGAAACACCTGCCAACCAGCAACATTTCCAAACAAAGGAAGATATCAACCTTCAGTTCATGAACAAGGGAAATAGGATCTTTCGATCTTTCCCTAGTCTTACTTCAGAATACTCAGAATGGCTGAGCAAGATGGAAAAAGTACAAGCCCCAATCTGGAAAGATATAGGGATCTATGACTTGATCATGCTGTCGAAGACTGGGTTAGCTTATTTCCCTCTCATGTTGGTGTCTTCATTGTATTTCTGGGACAACACATATTTTACCTTCCATTTTCCTTATGGAATGGTAACTCCAACTCTCTTTGATATAGCTGCCATTACTGGTCTTCGACCAATGGGTGACTACTTCGACCCTGAGGATCTGTCCGAAGATCCTATCGGGTTTTCGGCCATGAAGACCATGTATACCATATTCATCAATCATTTCCATGACAAATCGAGTACCACTGTCTCTGAAGTGGAACACATAGTTTTTCTGGCTTTGTTGTTATCTCGTTTTGTTTTTCGCACCAAGTCACTTCAAGTGACTAAGAAAATGCTTACTCTTGCAATACAACTTCACCATGGTTATCCTCTTTGTCTGGCTGAGTTAATTCTAGCCAACCTGTATGAGTCCATCAACAATTGTGTGACTCTACTTAAGGTTATTAGATACAAGGTTAGTTTACTCCTTTCCGGCCCCTTTTGGCTTCAGCAACTTTGGCTAAATGCCACTTTTGAATCTTTTCTTCCGCAGAAGAATAAGATTAACGAGAGGGCTCCAGAGGTCCTGAATAAAAGGGTCGAAGGGAGTAGATTAGTCTTGTTGACTCCAACTGACGAAGGTCAACAATTCCAAAAGGCATTTACCAGCTTTGTAATGATGTTTGCAAAGCAGAAGAAATTTGTTTTGGCCATGGCTCCCTTTGCTAGTAGAAAGGATGGCCCAGAATGGTTCATTTGACCATATCCCTCGTCTGACGAAGATGACCATGTGGATGAATATGTAGCTATCTGGGAGTCATTTCTTAGACCAAAAATCATGCCTCTGAGATTCAAGAGTTCGAAGAATTAACTTAGCTTAATTGCT